ATCCAAGCACTACGGAGCCCGAGGCAGGAGAATTTCTTGGAGTTCAAGGCCAGCCTGGGCTACACAGTGAGTTCAAGGATAACCTGAACTGCATAGTGAAATCCTGTCTGAAGAAAACTATATAAATAGATATAGATATAGATATAAAACTTGGAAGATGTAAAAAATGCAATTATTGAGCTTCAGCTGTTACCCAAACTTCCATAAAACTATGTCTGCACACGTAAATGCAGAGACTGCATATACCAGTGATGTCTGGTGGGAAGAAATGCTCATGAGAGCTACTGTGTCTCTGTGACTTCCGCACAGGAAGAATAATTTCTGAGTATAAAACACAAAGTCTCTTATAGCTTTATTAAGTCACCATCTTTGTCATTTTTAAGATTAATTTGCTAGGTCTTAATTTATGTAGCACATTCTGAAATACCGATGTTTAAATCAAGAATTTTATATACGTGTGCATTTGTTTCAAGTTCTCTGTCCAAGATAAAAACTGAGCGAGGAAGGTCGTTTAAAATCAGGCTCTCTGCTGAATGGGACTCAGCCTCTCCAGAGGGAGGTCTGTTCAGTTCCTTGTGCACCACGAAGTGACGAGGGTGTCTGTTTGGTAAATTATGCATTTATTTGGGGGTTCAGAGGTCTGTCTTTCTGTTGGTCCGAGCCCCTGCAAACAGCCTTCTGGCATCCTGCAGGCGCTCCTAGCTGCTGGGCTCACGCGACCTTCATCTGCTTTGCCATTACCTTTAAAGAAGCTGTGAGCTAAGAACTGGGATACTTCCCTGTGAGCTCTCGCCTGTTGGAAGGGTGTTTGCACACAATCCTGGAAGTCTGGAAACCCATCCTGTACTTCAGCTCTCTTTGGGGATAGGTCACGTCTTTCACCACATTTTGACTGGGTTCTGTAAGTATGTTTCCAGGTGACTTCTCAAGACATCTCCCAGGCAGGTGCAGAGTTCATCTCCTCTTGTCAGTGGGGCTGTGTCCTCCACACCGAGCTGAGCAGCTGCTTCTTAGCAGTGAGCTCATGCACAGTGAGATGCTTTCCACCTTCTCTTCAAGTTCGCCATATGTTGTACTATATTTTCAAATTTTCTCCTCTGTGTGGATCATCATCGCTCATCTCAGATATGTGACCAGTCATTTTGGCCAACTTCTTGTTGCTTTTTAGCAGCTCTTTCATGTCATTCAAGTCACTCTTTGGCAGGGTGGAGGCCATGCGCTCCAAACTCTCAGCCACAGAGAACAGCTGCAGCTTGGCACTGTATTTACAGGGTGTGCTGCAGGCTGCAATCGGGCCGTCTCGAAACTGCGTTTGCATAGCAAACATTCTGCTTTTATTTAGATATTATGTAAAAATAATAAAAATGGCAAAAATTTTCCACACGTGCATAATCTACAAATTCATACTTGAAATAAAATTGAGAAGAGACATCAAATACTACAAATTCTTTTATTCCAAGAGCTTAGAGAAGGGGCCTGGAGACAAAATAGGGTGCCAGAAGTACCTTTTCTTCCTCCAACCTACTGCTCAATTCTGCCAGGACCACGGGGTCTCCTGGATGGGCCCCGAACACTTTCAGAAAAGCCAATTGCACGTCACATGGCGTGCAATTCTATATACTTTCACTTTTATGAAAAAAGGGACCATTTACCAGTTCATTTCTTAAACCATTAACAATTACTAAAATCTGGTGTTCTTAAACTAAAGTTAGAGTGCTCCTAGAGTTCGCTGAGGACTTCACACAACCTTCTGCCAGCAAGTCCTGCTCCGTGTGACTGCTGGCTCCATTCTGCAGCCCAAGGAAAGGCTCCTGACGGAGAGTCTGGAGGGGTCCCGGTGTTCTGCTACTGAGACTCTTGATTATTTTTTAAAAGAAGAACATACAAATTTTATAAGTCTAATATGCAGAGGAGTATGCGCTCAAAGCGGGGCAAGCCAGCTGAGCCTTGTACAGAGTTTAATAGAGGGACGGGCCTTGGGCTTCGGGAGGAAACGGGGAGATCAGGCTCTGGAAGGTTAAGGGGGGACGCACACGGCGAGAGAAGGCTGCTGCGGGGTGTTGGTTTTTAATTACATATTGTGATGAGTTTTGCTTCTTTGTCAATGAAATTGATGAGGGGTAATCATAGTGTGTACGCGTGCTAACACAAGGAAGTACTGGGTACTGGTCGGTGATTTGGTAAGTTGACACCTACACATTGTTGAAACATAAACTGTATCCATTATACCTGCTAGTAAGGAAGATGGGTAAACATATTTACAAATTTATATCTTTGTTTTGTGCTACTTTGTGGGTATTTTAGTTGTGAATTTGTGAGAATTTTGCTGTGATGGTGGTGCTGGAGATTGAATCCAGGGTCTCATGCGTGCCAGGCAAATGCTGGACCACTGAGCAACATCCCTAGCCTGTGTTTAAAAATAACATGCAGCATCTTATTAAAGTAAAAATAAGGGAATAAATAAGAAGCCTGTGAATTTACTTCCAAAAATTGTTTTATAATATTTATAAATGTTGTTTTAAACATACAGGAGTTTAAATTAGGGTTTTAAAAATTTTTTTGGTTCCAGGGATCAAACTCATGACTGCCTGCTTGCAAGGCAGGCATTTATGCCAGTGAGCTAATGCCTGGCAAATTGTTTTACATTATAAAAATGTGAATAAGTGCTGAAGGAATAGACAGAGGGTAACAACGGGTTGATAGTGACTCATTTCAATGAGTATTCTCTGACAATATTCTTATTTTGCATTGTTATCTTGTATCATGCCATGATGCCAGCACCTGATTGTTGCTCCTTAAAAAAAGACACTGTATCTGAATATAAATCTCTTTTTTTTCCCCTTTGGTACTGGGGATCAAACTTATGACCTCACACTTGCCAGGCAGGCACTTAAGCCAGTGAGCTAAATCCCTGGCCCTTGAATATAAACCTTACAAAATTAAGAAGGTGGCTGAGTCCACTCATGCATTGCTCATGCTTCTCTCAGTGTAAAATCTTAGCACAATCCTGAGTCTGATTTATTTCATTACAGGACTCAGTCCTATCCATGCTTGTTCACCCATTACACTCTATTTCCTTTTTGGCATATCTGTCTGCCCAGATTAAGAAACTACATCTATTTGCTAGCAAAAAATGAAAAATAATGACAAAATCCTATTCTGACAAAGTTAAGGTGAAGTTCATCCTTGCACATAGCCAGTATATGCAGGTTAAAAATTATTTTTAGAAAGCAAACGATAATACGTTTTCGGGGCTGGGGATTTAGCTCAGCGGCATAAGCGCCTGCTTGCAAGCAGTCAGTCCTGAGTTCGATCCCTGGTACCGATAAAAACGAAAAAGACAAAAAAAAAAGAAAGATAATACATTTTCAAAATTGTTGTATCTGTTGATTCAGTAATGTTTTTATAAAGCTAACACAAAAAGCAACCGAAGAAAGTTCTGAATGCCTAAATGTATTTGCCTTTGTATAATAGATAAGCACTAAGTTATCTGGAAGTCAAATAGTGCGGACTGTAAGTACATTTCAGAATTACTTGATGGGATAGGGTGGGGTAATAGAGTAATACACAGAAAGAAAACATCACAAGACAACTACCGAGAGACAATTGAAAGCAAAACAATACAAAATACAAAACAGCGGAATTCAAATTATATCTCTGCCATGTGCACATGACAATACCTGATTATGTGACTGGACTGGAAAGAAACATGGGCATATGATTGGGGTATTTCAGTGTGAAAGACAGGTTCATCTTCCTCCACTGTCTAGCCTTGCTCTTGAATACAAATAAACACATTTTCAGAAATTTGGGTGTCATTCCTTAAAAGAACTTCTAGTCTCTAGAGATAATGCTGGTGGAGTGAACCCGGTAACATCTGAGTTGTGTGATTTATTGAATGTATTTACGTAAAAACAAAACACGTAAATCTCAAAATCATCTATAGCTAGGAGAAAAGGAGCTACAAGGCGGTGTGTTCAACACTTCCCGGTGGTTCTGATGAGGTGTAGAATTTGGAGTCATTGTTTGACCTGTTTTTGCAGTTTTCAAATTTTCATAGGGGAAAAAAATTAAAAAACTAAACCAAACAAACAATCAAAACCTCCCAGCTTGAGCCCCATAGGCACAGCCATGCCCACTTTAGATTTTTAGAGAGGTCTCAACTGAGACTCAGGCTGGCCTCCAGGTCCTGGACTCAGGTAACCCTTCGGCCCCAGCCTCCTGATTGTGGGGACCGCAGATGCCCCCCGTCATGTTTAGCAGCTCCGCAGGTGTGCAGGGGAGCCAGAGGAGGGAGTCCCTCCCAGAATAAGTACCCAGGGCAGTGGAAAAGCTGAATCCAGGTCACTTCGCAAATTGATTTTCCAGGCCAAGAGCAGATGTTTCAGCCAAGACCTCCCCAGCCCTACCCACTTCGGTCCTGAGGTCTCTGAAAGACAGGGTGCCTGTGAATCACGGCCACCAGAAATGAAGACTGGTTTCTTAGCAGCTGCTAAGTGTCTTACTAGGTGTCTTGGTAACCGGGGGTGTTTCGTCCTTTCACCCTCGAAGACCGAGACGGAGCTGAAAGTTTGCTTAGTCTATGCCGCGGCCCTCACCGCTCCCTCTAGCACAGTGCCACCAAAGTCCGCTCACGTGTCGAGTACCGAACCTCACCTTCAGCATCCAGGGCGTGGAACATCCCTATGGTTCACTTATCTCATTCCCAGTCATGACTCCTTTTCAGCCTGGGGTGGATGTCACCCTCCCCGCCTGTGTACTAGGAAACGAGCCCAGAGAGGTTCCATTGCCCTTTTGTTGGCTCAGGTCACAGTGACTGGCAGAGCAAAATCTTTAAGCCAGGGTTTCTCCACCCCCACCCAGGGGCTGCATCAAGGTCTCAGGCCCTAACCCTCTGGTCCAGTACAGGCCCACATGCACCTGTGCCCTGATGCCAACAATGGCAGACGCTCATGATGCAGAAGGCAGAAAATTATCTCCGGGCAAGCCAAGGTGCTTACCAGAATTGCCACCGTGTCCAGATGTGAGCGACGGAGGAGACAGCAGTGCTCAGGTGCAGCTGGAGAAGCGGTTCTTGCCTATAGGTCTTTGCCTAACCCAGAGGCAGCGAGCGCGGGTCTGATCACACTTCCCCTTTCTGTCAGCCTGGGTGTGGCTGGGTGGCTGGGTGGGAGGCGCACAGTGCCATCTCCAGGCAACAATTCCTCTTTCCCAGGAAGCTGAGCCTCTGGCTTTCCAGAAGCCAAGATCTCTTTTCCTACTCTTTGTTGCTCCCGCAAAGCCCACAGAGGACCATCGTGGTGGAACGTAGATCTCTGGGAGGGGCAGGCCCCAGAGTGGAGACCTGAACGTGGGTGGGTGAGTGTCCCACAGAGAGGTCTGCTCTGCGTATTCCTGGAGATGGCAGCCTGGAGCTCAGAAAGAAAGACACACTCGAGTCCACGCCCGGACACACACGGGCAAGAGATCTGCTCATGTGTGACAAAGATGCCATGTTTGAAGCCCCAGGAATCCTGGAATTGCTGCCTGGGCTTTGCTAGGAGGAAGAAAGGGGCAGACTTTCTTTTTTTTTGGTCTTTTTCGTTTTTATCGGTACCAGGGATCGAACGCATGACTGCCTGCTTGCAAGGCAGGCACTTATGCCGCTGAGCTAAACCCCCAGCCCCAAGGGTCAGACTTTCTGAAGGATGTGTCATGGCTGCAGGAAGAAATGTGTCCAGTGGACTGTTGTGACTGTGTAGAGTCGTTTCCTATAGCACTGGGAGACAGAACTCTCAGTGAGTCTCACAATTGGCTGCTTCTGACGGTAAAATACTGGCGTGTACTGGTTCTGTCAGATATGAATGAGTTATTATAACTCTCAGCCATCTGGTGATAACCTGGTTACCTGGTAAGTGTTCAGAAACTTGCTCACAAGATTCCCAATGCATAGTATTTATAACATCTGCTAATTTCCATAATGTAACTATTCCTGCTGTGGTCAGTTCCAAGACAGCACCATGGTATCACTGGTCTTGAAATTGAGAACCAGTTGCTCTCTTGGGCCTTGCTGGGCCAGCTCCAGAACACCTGCTGGTGATGAGGGCTTGGCTACTGATTTACATTCCGTACCTCACCTGACCTTCACTTACCGGGAGGATGATCATGTCTGTTTCATAGGCGGAACCCGAAGCTCAGAGAAAACGTATCACTGCATCCACTTTCCACAGCCAGGAAGGCGACTTGAGCCCAAGTCTGCTGTTTGCCAAGGCTGTCCTCTCTCTTCCTTGACTCCCCAAAGCTGTGCTGCACATCTGAGGAAGCTGGACACTCATTGTCTGTACTTTTATTTTCTGCTGCAGAAGGAACCACGGGCCGAGGGGTTTCTCGGGCCTCGAGCTGTGCCACCCTGGGCAAAGGTGACTCGCGCAAAGTGAATCTGTGCTGGGTACTTTCTTCAGTGTGTCTGTTTTCTGGCTATTTCTAATTATAGATTAGAGTTTCCCTGGACTCCTGGATTCTCACAGTTACTGTAGGCATGCTAGTCTCTGTACAGTTGTCCAAACCAGTGCATGTGCGTGTGTGCGTGCATGCGTGTGTGTGTGTGTGTGTGTGTGTGTGTGTGCAGAAAGCTGTTACTCAGCCATGTCTTCTGCTTTCTTACTCTCTTTTGTTACTGTCTGCTATCCCCAAATAGTAAACTCCCGGGTAACAGGACACTTTCTGGACTACCCTTCCCAACCGTGACATCCAGTCCAGTCATGAACACAACAGAATTCTCTGATAGACCCCATCCTTAGAGAGAAGTGAGTTACATGCACAAAAGGAGGCAAACTTCCATCCGTGAAACTTGAGGCATTGGATTGGGCAGTGCAAAGATTAGAATAGATAACCAGACACAGAATTCGCCTTCAAAAAGTCCTTCAGATCCAGGTGTGGTAGCATGCTTGTAATCCCAGTACTTGGGAGGCTGAGGCAGGAGAATTGCTTTGAGTTTGAGGTCAGTCTGGGCTATTTGAACTACATAGTAAGACCCTGTCTCACAAAAAAAGTGCCTGAGGACTGAGGATTGAGTTAGATGTGGTGGTAGCGCACACTTATATTCTTAGCTCCTTGGGGGGCTGAGGCAGGAAAACCACACGTCTGAGGTCAGTCTCGGCAACTGAGAGAGACTGTCCTAAAAATATAAAATGCAAAGGTAGGGATGGGGCTCAGTGTAGAGCTCTTGCCTAACATGCGTGAGGTTCTGGGTTTCATCCCTAACACTGTGAGAAATAAAAAGAAAACAGAAAGAAAAGGGAAGAAATTTCCTTAAGTTAGGAGAAGGTGACAACACATCACGCAGGTGAAGCTCAGGACCTACGCGAATGCAGACTCAGCCCTGAGCAGATCCTAGGGAGAGCCGTGTTCCACAGGACAGAACGGCAGATGAGTAACTACTAACCGAAGTGACCAGTGCCAGTGATGCGAGTCTGGGTGGTGACATTCGAACTGGACCTTGCAGGATATGAAGGGCCTCACCATGTGGGGAGAATACAGAGAGACAAAGCCAGAGGCGTAGGGGACAGCGGGTGACGGTGGTACCAGGAATGAATACATTAGGCAGGGGCCAGTCTGAGAGCAACGCTCAGGGAGCTGCATCAGAGGACCTGGGTTTGCCCCTCTCCTTCCCACCTCACGCATCCCCTGACTCCATCACCGGCCTTACTACAAGAAGAGGACAGGAAACTGGGGTGGTCATGTTTGGCTTTCTTTCTGCACAACAGCAATGTCTTCTGTGTGCCTCTCAGAGGCCTAGATTCAATGGAAGGGGAAGGGAGCGGGCCCTCTGGTGGTCATCTGTGATGCTTTTCCTCTTTTAGAAGTCTGATCCAGCCCTGAGCTCCCATGGGGAACCACTGCACACAGTAAAGAGTCACCCCTGAAGGCCATAGAGATGAAGGTTGTCAGACCAGCGGACACTCAGGAGGAATCGCAGTCCACTCTTCATCCCATGATGTAATGTCCTTGTCAACATCCTGCCAAGTGGCACCTAGCTTCCGCCATTTTTTCTGCTCATGAAGGAATCCAAATCACATTTAAAATGAAAGTCTCACTTCTTGTGCTGCTTCACAAGTGTTCATTAATCCACGTGAATGGACTGAACTGATAATGTGGACAGAAATAATATTTCAGGAGATCATGATTTATGGCTCCTAATCATGAGACTGCTGACATGGGAGGAAGGTCTACTGGTGTTATACGGCATTAAAATGTATAACCCAACCCGAGGGGTAGAAGCTCCCAGTGTGGAAGAAAGTTCTTGTGGTGACCACTGGCATGCTGGTGGGAACTGTCCTTGGAAGCTTAGTAGTAATGTAGTCTGATACCTTGAATCATAGGACAAAACTGGCAGCTTCTTGCAGGAAAAGTTATTCCAGACAAATTAAAGACTTAACTTCAAACTGTGAAATTATAAAAGTGTTAGAAAAAAATATGAGTAATTTTCTTTTAAAAATAGCCATGAGTAGGGAAGGATTTCCTGATTTGGTACCAAATCGAAGCCATAACAAAGCATTCGTATTTGTGAAAGATAGATGTCTGAATTGGGATAAATATTTGGCACACAGACGGTAAAGGGTTCATTGTGGAGGGCCACCTGGATGTCTCCCCTTGAACAAAGAGCAGTCACCTCCCCTTTGGCTAAACCTGGCCCTGTCTCCATGTACCGATGGGTACAGAGCTGACCAGGCCATTCCCTTGTCCCTTCAGTTTGCTCTAAGCAGTGTAAACAGGGCTGCCTGAGGTGCTGATGCACGACCCTTGAAGCAGTGACAGTGTCCTTGCCCTATGACTCCCTAAACACAGTTGAGCCAGGAGGGATGCAGAGGCACCACTCCAGGGGTGTCAGCTGGGTTTGGTCTTGCGATAAGAAGCTGTGACTTCCCAGGGCAGAAGAAGCTTGCACATCAAAGTTCCGCTGCCTGCACTTAAATGCTGCCTCAGTTGTGTTATGCAGATCCGACTTGCTTTCTCTCTGCAGACTGCACAGGTGCTTCCAGGCCTCCCACACAGCCCAGCTCACAGTGCTCAGGCATTTCCTGCCATCTCACAGTCACTCATCCTCAAACCGGTCCATTTTCACGAATTAATAAAATCCTGGTTAGGCCCTGGGTGAAAGCCTTTGTCCCAGTAAGTCTTCATGCTGGCCACACTCAGGCCCACTCGGCCTCCTGTGATTATAAACATGGCTTAGAGTCTGTTTCCTCACATGAGCTGCACTAGAAGTGGCAGATTGGGATTAACTGGTTAGAATTCCAGTAACTTTTCCATGGGATTACAAATTTAAATTTCCTGGACCACAACAAGGATGGGAAAGGGATCTCTGTAGTTAATGTTCTTAACTTGAAAACATCTCTTATAAGTCCATCAAAAAGCAAATTAACATCCCAGAAGACAAATGAGCAACAATTATTTATAGGCTTCGGGGTGTGGTGATGCATACTTGTAATTTCAGGGTGTTGGGAGACAGACAGGAAGGTCACAAGTTTGAGACTAGCCTGGGCAACTTAGCAACTTAGCAAGACCCTGTCTCAAAATGTTAAAAAAATTTAAAAGGGGCTGGGAAGCTACCTCAGTGGGAAGGCCCTGTATTCAACTCCCAGAATAGGAAAAAATAAGCACTTCCTAGCATAAATACAAATCCCTAGCAAATATATGCAGTTATTACATGTCACCAATAAAAAAGAAATGTATAAAGATGGATTTTTTTTAAGTATTAGGGGCTGAACCCAGGGGCTTTGCACCGAAACACATCTCCAATCCTTTTTTTAAAAAAAGTTATTATTTTGAGACAGGGTCTAGCTAAATTACTCAGGTTAAGCTCAAACTTATCATCTCCTGCTTCCTGCCTCAGCCTCCCATGGTGCTGGAGTTACTGGCATATGCCACCATGCCCAGATAAAGACAGCTTATGTTTTAATTTTTTTATTTTGTTTACTAGGTTATTCTTTCTGTTATAAAAAAGTATATTATAATGAGAATTTAAAGTCAAATAGCATCTGGAAGGCAGTTGCCATGTAGCTGTTTTAGTTACCTACAATTGCTATAACAAAGTACCACAAACTAGGTGGTTTACATGAAATTATGCTCTCAAAGCTCTTCAAGCCCAGAACATG